ATCTGCCATTTAATTGCATTAATTATATATAAAAGTATTTATGTCCAAAGTTGATTGGACCTAGGGCATAATACTTACATAGGGGAGAGAGATGTCGCAAACGGGTCGGAGGAGTTTTTTGAGCTTATCAGGCCGGTGGGATTTTCGGAGCCAGTTTGTTTCGATTTCTTGAAACAATCCCACAAATCATCATAATTCTTGGTAAATTGCTCGTCCTTATTTCATCTATCATGGAGTTTTTTAACTTTTTACATTATGGACGGCTAACTTTCATCTTAGTTTAAATAAATAAGTCTATCTCATATAAGATTTAATGGTTTACAGTTCATACTTTCGGATGAAGTAGTCCAGCTTCATAAAAGAAATCCTCAATTTAAATTTCGTCCTGCACATTTAAGATAGTGAAATTGAAGCTACCATAAATTGTTATTACAGTTTGTAACTTGTTTGATTACAATCTATGTACATATATTTATGATCCGTGCTATTTTCACCTTTAGATATAAGGATTATAGATGAAACTAAAACTAGCATGCCCAAGTACTAAAGCTAAAAAGGATGAAAATCCAAGCACATTTAGATATCACTAACTCATTCTAATTGATGTTTAAATACTGTGATAAGGCAATGCAGCTCCTTGAGAGTGGGTTAAAGGTCAAGGAATATGAACTGTTGAGAAGAAACTTCAGTGAAACTGGCTGTTTTGGCATTGGTATCCAAGAGCACATTGATCTTGGAATAAAGTAAATAAATTACCTGGAGTAGTACTATAATATGACTTGAGCAAATTGTATCTGACTTGATACTTTAAGCCAAGAGATGTTACTGTTATAATGTGACTAGGGTGTGTTCATGCAAGCTTATCTGGGTGTATTGGGTTGGTTGTTATAGCTATGGATGGATGGTATGCTTTGCTATTTTTGGTCCAGATTCTCGCCAAACATTTTACTGTAGTTTTCGCTATGTAGCATTAGCGAAATCGATTTCCTAAAGTAATGATCACGTGGCTATGATCGTGTCAAACATTCTTAAAAATTTTCACGAACAAGGTTTCTTTACAAGCAGTTATATCTTCTCATTTTATTTTACTTTTTACTATTTTCAGGTATGACCCTTCAACTGGTATCTATGATATGGATTTCTATGTTGTCTTGGAGTGCCCTAGTTATCGTGCGGGGCATCGTAGTAGGTGCAATTCACGCATTGGAATCTAGCACAAGGTCACAAAGGAAGATGCAATGAAGTGCTTCTAAGTGAAATATGAAGGTGTTATTCTTAACAAGTCCTCCAACATTGCAAGTTAGTTTGATAGCACCGTTGGACTTTCCTACCAAAGCTTTAGTCTGCATTTTTGTAGACCAAGATTTGTTACTTTTTGAGGCCAAACTTTTGGAGAACTACTTTTACTTGTTTTGCAAACGAGTTGGGTTTTTCTCTAGGGTTAATTTAGTTTTATTATATTAGTTAATGCCCTTGTTTGAGCCCCATTTTTTTGAAAAAATACATTCTTAAACAGCGTTTTGACATCATTTCAATCACACATTCTTCAATAAAATAATATTACACGAAAATCTAAAATTTTTCTTATTTTTTAACCACACATTTCACATCATTAAACTATTCAAAAATGCATTTTCTTGGCAAAAATGGGGCTCAAACAAGGGCAATATGGCTTTTAAATGTGACGGCGATCAATCGCATGCTTTGAGCTTATGAAACCTTTGATTTTTCGTTTCCAAACAGGTGTGACATAATAATCTAATGTGTCCTAAAGTAAAGTATCCATCTTGACATTCTTGGAGTTGCATAGGATGGAATGCCTTGAATATATATGTCTTTGCCCGAACTTAAGTTTCGAGGGTCACGTACTAAACATAATAACTTCTACCTTTGGTACGTGTAAATACTCTTAAATAAAAGTATTACATGTTAGAAACTTATTTTCCTCTTTTTCTGCACACGAATTACCCCATGGCTTTCCACTTGAAGATAGATTTACGGTTTAGCAGTTGCTTTGTTCTTAGCTGGATTTGTAGTGAAAAAATTACAATTTATATCTTATTTGATTTGTATAGATATGAACATAGATATAGACAGTGAAATTGAAGCTATTGGTGAAACTCCTTCAACATCTTTTCCTCCACTTCCACCATCGTGTTGAAGATTGCTGAGAAGAAAACTAAGAAGGCTGATGGTGGTTTTACTCACTACTTAATTTTTTTTTTTTTTTTGGAAAATGTATTTGATTTTTAGGTGTTTTAGAATTTTGGTTATGACTTACGGCAATGTTCAAAAAACGTTGCAAAAAAGTTATTTACAATGCGAAAAAAGTTGCAAAAAGTCATTTGCAACGCGAAAACAAACATTGCAAAAAAGGCTTTTCACAACTCGAAACAAAATTCTGCAAAAAGGTTGTTGTATCCTCCACTCTACGACAACATTAAGGTTTGCAGTATAGTAGTGTTTGTTCCATTAATTCATGGAGGAGAAAATGTAGGAACTTATTAACTAAAAGATATAGGTATTATCAATACATCCCC